GTGGCTGGGCCAAAGATTAGTATGGAAATGTTAATGTCTTTTTGGCAGTAGAAACACATTGTTTTGAAAATTCTTGTAAAAATCAAATAATTGTTAGATTTTAATGAAACTTCAGGACTTATTCACAAATGAATGAAATTTTAAATTTTTTTTTTATTTTAATAGAAAATCTTGGTAAAAAATATATTTAAAAAAAAAAAAAAAAAAATCTTGGTAAAAAGGTGTATCTACTCCCACCCCCCATTTTCTTAATACTAATTTCAGTATTTTTATGAAATTTCAAGAAAATTAAATTTCAGCCTCTTTATATTCATATTAATTAAAAGCAGGACTACCATTTACTTAAAATCTACTCTGAATCCTAAAATAAAAAGCACAATAAAACTGACATTAATTAGAAATGTTTTTAATTGCTTCTATAAATAAGATATATTAAGGACATTATTGTCCTAAGAAAAATAATTATTTTTATGAATAATGAATTTTTTACAAGAATTTTTTTTTTTAATTAGAAAAATTTATTAAGTTTTAAATCTTAAAATGTTGTACTAATTTCAGTATTTTAAGTGAAAACTATATTTACTAATCATAAATAGTAAAGCTCAATACCAGTATTCAATCACCAAGATTTTAAAAAGAATTTTGAATTTTTTTTTGTAATGTATGTACCCATTTTTTAATTATGGCCAACCATACACATTATCAGAAAATAAGAGCAACAACTATAGTAAATTTAATGTCAATATTCCTAAAATTAGATTACTGAGAATATTTTCAAAATTTTTATAAGATTACTGAGTACTTAAAAAAAATTATATAAAAAAGGTGTTCACGTCATTTTCTTAAATCATGTTTTACAGATAAAGTCCTCGTAGAATAACAATCAATCTGTCATCACCTTGCCAAAGACAAACATGGCTGCTATTGGTTAAAAAACACTGCTACTTAAAAATATTTGTTTCTGCTATATTTTAAACTTTAAATAATGTTTCAAATCAGATTAACTATCTTTTAAATCAGCCAATATCCCTTAAAGTTTTAGAAAATTATATTTTATTACTTAATAAAGAGAATTACATTACAATGAAAGATGACTAAAAAAAAAAAAAAAAAAAAAAAAAAAAAGGAAGAAGAAGAAGAAGAGAGAAAGGTGGGGATGCTAATTTACTTATTGGAAATAGTAATTTTAATCTTTAGTTTTCAATCAAAGCTAAAATGAAAGTTTCAAGAATGCTTTTCCATTTTTTAAAATTAATTTAAAAAGGTATCATGATTTTTGTGGAGGTACCTAGTTTACAACATTTCAAATGGCATTTAAAATAGCCTGTAATAAAAGTGGACAAAAAGTTTCATGACTGAAATGATCTTAAGATCACATGTTACTATTCAGTGTGAGCATGCTCATACACACAAATATATATTCTAAACATTATTTTAGTGGATACCCCCACCCCTTTTTTTTAAAATGCATTGTGAATTACATTTACTGGTTTATATATTAAAGAGATTTAATAAAGAAAATATGCTCCTCTTTAAAAAGGTAAATGAAGCTGGCTCAGCAGTGATGCTTTCTATGGCCGAGTGTTCTAAAGTATGCTGGATCAGATAGGTCACACCCTGCCAGAAAGTACATTTTCTTTATTAAGCCTCTTGAATGCACAGACAAGTAGACATAATACACATCATTAAAAAAGAAACAAAAAAAAAACAAAAACAGGGCACCTACTCAAACATGGGTATCCACTTAACATTTAGAGTAATAAGAAATAATGTCGGATTAAAGATAAAATCCATTGGTTTCTTAGAAAATTTATTTATATATATATATATATATATATATATATATATATATATATATATATATATATGTGTGTGTGTGTATGTTACTGGTAACTTATTTTACATTTATTTTCAGAAGATTGATTAATTGGTTGGTTACTTAACCTGCATATCAACCACTATGGGGCATCAATGCTGAAATGGTTTGTTGGTTCAGCGGCATGACAACATCCATGGGCCGCTCAATGCCAAAATCCAAATATTTTGTATGCAACTTAATGGTTTCAACTACAGATGTTTTGTACATCGTTTTATACAGGGTCAACATTTTTTATATATATATAGTTTATAGATAATAAAATGTATTATGCTTTTTTCTATAAGTGCTGGAAGCAGCCTACTTTCACGTAGCCTATTATTTGAGAAATAAATAGATTTTTAACGGTAAGATTTTGTACATCATAGTATTTGTTGCACATTTTTTGTAGTCTTTGTGCCTATTAGAATGTGTTTAACAGTGAACAATTGATCACAAGAGATGCACCTAGGTGCAGTTTCTACTTTAAGTATATGGGTTTAAGATGTGCATGTCCAATTTGGACTGCTTAGCACTACGAAACTTATCACATATTGTTTACCATTTTCTTTTAATGTATTGTGTGATCTTATTTTTGTAATCTGTAGATGGGAGCCTAAGTCAATTTATGTAACTTAGGCAAACAAGATTAAAAAGAAAGCTTATAACAGATAAAACTAGAAATTATGTTAAGTGTTTTTAAAAGCTTTAAAAATCAAAATTCAAGTACAGATATTCTGTGTATTAGACTGTACAATATTGTTATGATGTAATTAAAACAGTCAAGTTCACAAAGATAACCATTTGAACTGTCATTTAAAGGATGGCCATTTACAACACAAGTTAGACATTTACATTTCCAAGCAAGAATTAATGCTTCTTTAAACTGCTTTTTCTCATTTACAAAGCCAATGGGTTCCTGACAATTTGTGTGACAGATCAAGGGTATGAGAGAGAGAAAAAAATTACAGAAGATCCAAATAGGAATGATACTAAACAGGTCAAGGTATAAACCTCAGTTGTAAATGAAAGAGAGTTTTGTATAGTGTAAGTACCTCCACGAGATCGCTAAAAAAAGAGCATAGCATGGTGAAAAAGATGCCAAACTTGACAAAAACAATTTTATCGTCTAAATGTTAGTTATTATTAAGAGGAAAGATCAAAGTATTTTTGGGGTATGTTTTAACTTTTTTTTTTTTTTTTAAATCGTTCCTAGCACATCTGAAATTTTCACTAAAAATCTTTTTTTTTTGTTTTTTTTTGAGTCAGTAAAATTGGCAGATAATCGATCATGGCAACCATTTTTTTCTGTTTTATAAAAAAAAAAAAAAAATCTCAGTTTGAAATTCTTTTAAAAATCTATTATTTTTTCAAAACTTATTTTAAGAAAATCAAAAATTATGTTTATTTAAAAAATTTTGAACCGAGCTTAACTTAGCTTCTGCGCCAAAAAGATGTAATCTGAAAATAAATCCAAGCAGGTCATAAAGTTTCGTGTCACTTGACAGGTGATGAATGACATTGATGGATTATGTGAGGATAATTCCTTCTACAGAAGGAGAGAAGTGTTGCTTACATTTAAGTGAACAAATTATTTACCTTGTTATTTTTAAGGAAAACTTTCAACGCTCTAATTTTTTTTTTTTGTACTAAGCTTTCAGCGTTACGTTTATGATGCTTTATGGAAAATATATTATAAAGAAATTAAAATAAAAGTGAGATTAAATTTCATAAGAAAGGTATGTAATTTATAGGTACCTTTCTTATGAAATTTTGTCAGAAGTGTACATAAAATACTATAATTTTATGTACATTTACTACATTTTACTGTGTTATTTGTATTTCCATTCATTTTATTATTAATTTTGATATTTTTCATTTATGGAAAAATGTTATAACTGAGATTAATATAAAAATAAGATTATATAAATTTCATAAGATGATAGTGATACTTGTAGGTACCCTTCTCAGTTGAAATTGAAAAATCAAATTAACTTCACACATGTTTCGCAAAAGTAACAGCAGAAAACAATGCTTAACTCAAATAACGCAACTTAATTGTATTCTGGTTGGTCTTCCGTACAGCCTGATTATAAACAAAACTACATTTCTTAATTACTGCGGGTCTTCTGATTAGTCAAAACGATACAATTTACAATGCATTAAAAAAGATCTATCTCATAAGGGCACTTATGAAAGTGGATGTGGCTTTTAACTAATTTTATATTTTAACAAAAATCTATTAGAATTAAAGAAATAAATGATTGTATTAAAAGTTCATTTTTTCATCAAAAAAATTTTTGGCTTTCAGAAAACATTGTCCATATTCATAAAAACAACTAAAAGCAAATGAAAGCATTTGAAATTAAATAATATCTTTGTTTTATTGAGTTTTGTATGTTACAATTCAGAGCTGATTTACAGGGGGGGGATGGGCAATTAAAAAAAAACAAACAAAAAAAAAAAAAAAAACACCACCACCACCAACAAACAAAAAAAAAAACCCCCACCACCAACAACAAACAAAAAAACCACCACCAACAACAAAAAAAAAAAAAAAAAAAAACATGATTTGCATTCCTCAAAGCCATGTGCTTTTAACTATTGTAATCACTAAAGTGGACTTGATTGAATTTCTAGAGTTTTCATAAAATTAGTTGGGGGTGGGGTAATAAATATAAAAAAAAATATTTCTGTCATGACTTTAATAAAAAAACATTTATAATAATTTTGGTTATCTGTAAATAGTTTCTGAAAGTTTCATTAACATCAGACAATTATTTTTATTTTTGCAAGATTTTCCAAATTAATGTGTCAAAAAAAAAAAAAAAAAATATCAAAATTTAGAATGTTCTAAAAAGGAAAAAATTTAAAAAATAATTAAAATAAACTTTGGTCTTTTCTCTTCATAATAACAAACATTTAGACGATAAAATTTTGTTTTCGTCAAGTTTGGCATCTTTTTCATCATGGTATGCTCTTTTTTTAGCGATCTCATGGAGGTACCTATGTATAGAGTTATTAATTTTTGATGAAAAGCATGCCCTGTTTATAAAGTTTGGGTCATCTTACAACATTAATTCTGTATTGCTAGAAAAGTACATCTGGCACTTTTGCTATCAAAATCAAGCAAATAAATACTTACCAAGGGTCTGCAGTTGAAACAGCTTCCCCAACTCAAAGGGCAAATTGCGAAGGAAATTATTGTTGAGCAAAAGCTCACGCATGAGTGAGAGGTCGCCCAGTTCTGATGGTAGACTACGTAATTTATTGGATGACAAATCCAGATATGTAAGATTTGTAAGTTTGGCAATGTCAGGCGGGATACGAAACAAATTATTGTCGTTGAGGTAAAGTGATGTTAAATGCTTCAATGTCCATAATTTAGGACATAAATTCCGCACAGGCCCTGGAAAAGAAAGAAAAAATATTAACATTTATTGCAGAATGTTTATCATCAAACAAAAAATATTAACTAGTGTCATTAATTTCTGTATTCATATACTAATTAATTAAACTAGACCATAAAGAGGTGTATATCACTGATTTTTGATTGATTTTTTTTTTATTTTATTTTTACAGCTTAACTCCTTGCAGGTTAAAGCTAGAAAATATTTTTTTAGATTGTAAGAATTTGGGTGGAAGAGATAATAGTTTAGTGATAAAGGTCTTACTATTGCAGCCATAGCTGAGGGGAGAAGAGGTGGATCATAGCTTTTCCAATGGTATTTATGTGTAAGTGAATATAATGAACCAAATGGGAATAGGAACTCAGCTCTGATTAAAAATTTTAAACCAGTATTCATTACACCACCCACACATCCAAGCTTACAGTACCAGGTATTCCCAAGTAGTCATCCATCTATATACTGACCAGGCTTGGCATTGCCTAATTTCAGTGATCTCCAAGAGGAGGATTTAGTTTGAACAAATGTCAAGCAGAAAAAGAATTTATTTGCATCTATGTTATAAAAAAAAAAAAAAAAAAAAAAAAAAAAAAAGTTTTTGCAATATTAAACATTCAAATAGTAAACTATTTTTTTTTACGGACAAGAACAAATTTTTAGCTTCAAATGCCAAATTCACAGAATCTAAATGAAAGTAACTTTTAGATCAAAGTCCATATGTTAAATGTTAATGTAAAATTAGAGCTAGTTTATATGGAGTCTGTAATGGATATATATTTGGGCCTAATTGGAAATTTACTACATGTAAATATAAACAAATGGGTGCAAGCAATAGACATTTACTAAACCTAACCTTTTTGTGGCAATTGTTCCATTAGTGGCATATTGCAAGACCTTTTGCTTTACTTTTCTTTTTTGGAGGGTGCAGGTAGTGTAATCAATAGTGGCCTAGAATGAGAAATTGGCAAACTATGTTGAAATTCCAGTAGAGTTAATTACATTCACTTATGCACAAATATCCTTGGTAATGGCTCAATTCCATTTCTCTCCCCACAGCTATGGGTTAAATAGAACAGACAGGGCTCTTCAGCCTTAGTTGACCACCAGTCTAGAAGGACAACTCTGAATTCAAAAACTCTAGCAAAGCACATACTATGAGCAGCTAATGGAAAGATTGAGAAGATTACAATGACTATGATTGCAGTCAGTCTCGTTTACATCTACTACTTATTTTATCAGTAATATACGCAGAAAAGACTAAAATACAATGTTTGCTTATAGTGTTAAAATAAAATTTTTTGCACATCAATTTATACTGATTTGTCAAATTTTGAAACCATGTCTAGGCACTAAAAGATTAAAATTGCACAAGGCCATATCAGTGGGGCTCCTAGTAAGGACTGAAGTCACTGCACTTATCTTTAAGATAGATTTGCCAATCATCAAATCAAAGTTGACACTCAGAAATGGAGTAAGTAATACCTGTTGCAAACAAGTGAATACATAAAAGATACAATCCAATCAGATGTATGCATATTTTACCAGTCAAGATTTAGGATCAGAGTATAATGCTACAATTTAAATATGCAGTCATAAAACAAACTATTGTTTGTTGTCAATATATAGCATTTTTAGTTTAAAAAGCACTAAGCAAAGCAGATACTGAATTTGAATTCACCCAACCACTTTTAAAAAAAGTAGTAGTTGTTAGAATCCCTACATGTAATAAATGGCAAACTGAAAATGAAAAGCAAAGAAACCATTTTGCTTCATCAAACAGATATACCAAGGGTAGGTCTGATATTTAATCATCAAAATGGTCAACATTTCCAAGAATCAATGTATCATTGATAAGAATTGCTTGAATCAATCATTCATGCTTTTGGCAATCTTCCAAGCATATTGTCAATACACAAAATAAAGAACAAATAGGAAACATTTCTTTATTCTGTCAGATTTTATATATTGGATGAAATGAATTAAAACTGGCCAATATTTTAATATATTTTCTGTTTATACATTATTTTTATGGATACAACTTATTTGTTTTAATTAAACAATTAATCAATTATATTTACTGGCCAGAATGTTTGAGAAATTTCATGGAAAATATGCGTTCACCAACAGGAATCAAACATGCATCCCATATGGAAACTGTCATATAGTGAGACGTGTTGATAATAATTCGGCCACAGAGAACTTTCCAGTTAGCAAAGACATGCTTATAAGCAGTAATTTTGACTTTGCTAACAAGAAAGTTCTGTTGCTGAATGGTCAACAGCATGTCTGAGGCTATATTACGGTTTCTGTATGGGACACAGATTCAGTTCCTGTCAGAGAACGCATATTTTCTATGAAATTTCTCAAACATTCAGGCTGGTAAATGTAATTAAAACTGTTTAAGTAAAACAGAGCATTTACTCAAAATCACTGATTTTTTTTTTTTTTTTTTTTTAGTTTTCACAGTTAAATTTCTATTTCTGACATGAACTCAGTCCACATTGGGATGATAAGACAGACGACCAATATCTTTGTCTGCCAAAATAGGTTATTCCTCATATGAGGTGATTTTGAATTTTATTATTTATTAAATATACTGCTCCGTAATAATACATTGAGCTCTCTTTGTGGATCAGTTTTAATATTTTATATTACTAGGATCCACTTGGATTATATAACCACGGATTTGTTACCTTTACCATATATATATATATATATATATATATATACACACACACACACACACAATATATATATATTAGAAAAATGAAGTTACTTCCCTATATAAACTTTTGTAAATTAGCAAACAGTGAATAAAAGTCCTTTTTATATTTCAGATATCATTCAAAACAAGTCTCTCATATATACAGAGAGAGATCTGGTATAAAGACAAGTTTTGCTTATAGGGCCCCAGTTGCTTTTTACATAATGGTACAAATGTAAATAAAAAAAAAAATAACCTCAATGTATTAGGCTGATCAGAAATCAACTTAATTTTTAAACCTAATAATTAGGAGCTAACCAAGGAATAACTTTTTGGCCTGGAAACTGAAAGAAATGTAAGTCAAAATTTTAGCTCATCCACCATAATCAAGAAATCCCACAAGAATTACCAATTATGCACTTTTCATAACATTTTAAATCTCTCATAACCAGACAGAGCGGACGTACACACACACACATATATATATAACTTACAATTACCAAATAACATTCAGGCTACCTTAATATGGAGCAATGATTAGCAAGTAGGAATTTGGACATTTTGAAATTGTTAAGCCCAAGTAAAAGCCAGAATTTTTTGAATACTGATTTTCAAGGATCTCTATTCCTCTTCCGAAAGCACATGCTGGAATCGCCTTTCAAAGGCGCCACAAGACTGACCATGGCAAGATCCAAACCTGAAAGTAAATGTTCCAACCACCAACACGAACCTCTATATATATATATATATATATATATATATATATATATATATATATACACACACACACAAATGTATAAAAAAAAAAATTTGCACTCTCTGGCAGGATTTGAACCTGCATCCTGCGAGGCAGCAAGGGTTACTGGTAGACCTGGCAAGCTCTAACCAACGGAGCTACAAAAAACAGTAAGACAAGGACAAATTTGTGAATTTAAGCAAATCTTTTCCAGGCATAAATCTCACAAAAGTAAACAAACATTCATTCATTCTTTGCTTTTATACAGATGATTTTTTTTTTTTTTTTAAATTTCTTTTTGTTGCAAATGTCAGTATGGGAATGGTAGTTTGATTCACCCCATTAATGAAACTACCAGAGATTATATCATTTTCAGCTACCCTAGATATTCTACCATATACTGGAGGAAATGGAGGAAATACCTCAACACCCCACCGCCGGGGGGGTTGGTATTCCTCCATTCTAACCAAAATCAAGTCATAGTGGCCCAATTTTACAGATAAACAGATATTTGCTAATTCTTTCAATTTTATCACTCTCCAGCAGCATATTTTGTCAAGCAATTATATTTTGTATGTCAAGTGTGGCTGAACAGATACACAGGATTTCTCAGTGTTACAACATCAGAGTGGTTTCATGATCACAACGAAATCACAACCCTCCTTATTAATGTTAGTTTCTTGAAAGAAATGTTTAAATATTTATAAACATGCAAATTTAAAAAAAAAAAAAAAAAAAAAAAAAAAAAAAAAAAAAGAAAAAAAGTGTACACCTAAATCAGATTTGGGGGAATATAAGAAGACAATAACAAAAGTAAAAAAAAAAAAATCTAGAAAGGGAGATAATTTATAGAAAAGTTCAGATAATTGATAAAGGACATAACCGATTTCAGTATATGGTAGAATTAAAAAGCATAGATTAGAATCATTTGTATTATGCAGATAGCCATGAATGGAATTAATGAGCCAGTTGGTGTATGTGAGACACACACACACACACACAATATGTATAAGGCTAAATTTATTTTACAATTAAATATTTTAAGTTCCATATAGAACAGCAGTTCTCAAACTTTTTTGCTCAATGCACCCTTTTCATGATACGTCAGGTCACCCTCTCGTTCCAAAATTGTCCAACTGAAAAGGTGAATTCCAAATATGCATATGTTATTTTAAATCTTCATTCTTTTTTTAATATTAGTACATTAACATTAATTACTTCTATTCGAGTTTTATTTTTTTTAAAAACACTCATGATAGGCACCAAATTATGAAAAAAAAAAAAAAAAGGACAGTAAAATATCCCTGACACCACTTTGAAATTCTCCCCTGGTTGATAATCCATGATATAAAGTATAAATCATTGTTAGATATTTTATAT